GATACTTCGAGGAGCTTTCTTTATACGTTACTTGGAGCTATATATGGAAAACACCAATTTCGAGTTTTAAGTATAGTATACACGAAAACAGCTAATCGTAGGACTAGTGCGGCGCACTGAAAGCTGAAACATCTACACTGGTACCTACAACGCGGAGATCTTCAAGCCCGCGTCTTCGAGCGCACGGAGGCGTTGTGTGAGTTTATCAGGAATGCGGGCGGCCCAGAGACGTCCGAGGTGGATCTGCTTGAGAACGGTTCCCGTGTGGGTGGCAGGGGATGGTAGTACGTGATTTGGGGTATTCGGGTTGAGAGTATTCGGGCTATTCGGGGTGTTCTGAGTGTTCTGGTTCTGGGTATTCATGTTATTCGTGTTATCCTGGTTATTCGGGGTATGGCTTTCCGGATGCTCGAATCTCGACTCGACGATCTTCACAACCACTTCAATCTTATCGTGGCTCGTTAAATCTCTGCGCGCACTACTCGGACTGGGCGTCCGAATCCCGAATTCGCGCAAATAGGGCAACATCTGTCCTGGAGACGTAAACGTATGTGTATGTGCCTCGTCCTCCCAAGGCGTAGATGTTGGCACCCAAATCAGCGTCATGAGGAGCCAGAGATCCATTTGGAGGAAATTCCACGCGCGATGGTCGACGTCGCATAAGTCGAGTTTGGTGAGGGAGGGAGAGACGGCTTGGAGGAGCTCCATGAGGAGCTTGGAGTTGTAGGAGACGCCGTGGAGGGTGAGGGAGGTTAGGTGGCAACCGGAGCGAATGATTAGGGCAGTGATGCATGGGACGATGCCGTGGCTGAACGAAAATTCCTCCAGGCCGCCGGTGATGGAGAGGGTTTGGAGGAAGGGAAAGACGCAGTGGGTGATATCGGGACCGAGTGTTTCGAGGCGGCGATTGGCGCGGATGGTGAGAGAAGTTAGGAGGGAACATGTATAGGGTATAGGGTCCCGGAATGAGAATTCGTTGATGCAGTAGTTAAACGTGGCCGAAACGATGGAGGTAGATAGTCGGAGGGCCAAGTGCATCTCGTTTACATCAATATTTTCCATTGTAAGATGCTGGATCTGATGCCATGGAAATACTAGCTGGTCCAGGACATGGAAGGAGATGTCGAGAACGAGCGTGTGCAGCCTCGGCGAATTAGACCATGTGAGTATGGGTTTAAGACTTTCCTGAGGGATGGTGGATTCAGGCATAAAAGTAAACGATTCTAGCATAGTTAGTTCGTTTCCCGGTTCATTCCTCGGAAAAAAGTCCAGTTCGACGAAATGAACAGAGCGCCATCTATGTGCATGTGGCCACAGAATGTCAATTATAAGCGATCTGGCGTCTGGTACATTTATGAAGATATCCAGCGGGCAAGCTGCAGACCTATCGATGAAAAGCGCAGTAAGATTTCTGACAGCCTCGGAGTGTGGGTTTTCGTATGCAAACACTAAGATAGAGGTCCATATTGGTGGAAGAGCCAAAGCCACAGCTCTCCAACGAGCAGATACATGGCTGAGCTCGAGCGGACTGCAGCCGAGAAAGATTTGGGCTAGAATCTCGTTGGGAAGGACATCAGTTGCCATTACTAAGATACCCTGTTCTCACGGATCGGCGAGTAAAATATCGCCGGCCAAAGCTTCTCGCGTTTCTCCCATCAACCGCCAACGGGAGTAGAAAAATACTTAAAGATGCAGCGAATCACGGAACAGTTTACATCTTTTGCTTTCTCTCTGTTTACTTTCGCTCCACCAGCATGGCTCAGCTTTCGCAGAGCTTGACCACAGCAATCAACCAAGCTGCCCTAACTCTCGTCGAGCACGTCGCCAAAAAGGACAAACTATCGTTGGCAGATGACTCTAGTGTCCGACGCTGGACTAAAAGCTTTGGACATGCAGTTGTACGTTCAATAATCTCTCTAATTTCTCTAATAATCTCGCTAATCTCGTTAACGAACATCTCCAGGCAAAATACCGCGGCGTTGTCCGTATTATAACCGCAGAAACCGAAAAACCCTACACTGATTCCGACGACGTGAAGCATTCTCTTCGCGCCGCCGACAACTTTCTTCTCAAGCACGTACACTGGACATGGGACGAACGCTGGCTCGACGAACGATGGAAATCCGCTGCCCAGGAGCGCAAGAAGATCTGGGAAGAAGAAGAAGAGCGGCGGCGCAAGCAGAAGGAGGAGGAAGACCGGCTGCGCAAAAAGAGAGAGGAAGAAAAAGACCGCGCCATCCTCGCAAAAGTCCAGGCGTTTCTCAACGCCGAAGTCCTCATAAGCGATTATCCTACTGAAGAAGAATGGGCTGTCCTCCGCGATGAGCCTCTAGCTGACGAACACGGCCCGTCACCTATAAATCTTTTTGACCCTATATTTGACCCAATAGACGACATGTCTTCTCCCCTCTCCGATCTCTCCACGTGCGTCGACTCGCGTTCTCCTCCTCCCACCGCTCCTACTCCCCTCCAGAGCCCACGATTGCTCCCCGGGAAAATCCTAGATGATCTCGTTCCTCTCTCGCTCACGTCGGCTGACATTTCTCTTCTCGCGCACGCGAAATCAGATCATCATCCGAAGCTCCCAGGTCGTCGTGGGTCCGGCCCCGCCAATACTGCGGCCAGGCCCACCACAGCGAAACTCACGACCATAAGCCTGCCGTCGCCGCCCAGCGATGCCAGCCCCACAAACCCCACAAACCCAAACTCAATCGCCAACCCAATTCCAATCGAAATTGACATCGACCTCCCAACAACAAATTCAACAAACCCAACAAACCCAGCCCAACCGAAAACGCGCACGTCGAAACCAACACTACCCGCGCATCCACAGGCTGTCAACGCAAAGGTGATATCCATGTGATTTTTCCCATATGGCTCCAAACGCTGACCGAATGCCTGGATTTGATCCCTTTGATTCCTTGAAATTTAGATGTCGCCGACGACAGGCCCGATACACCCGATAGGGCCAACGCAAACGCAAACAGCTCAGATTGGGATTGGGAAAACGCAGATACCACCCGCGACACAGCCCACACCGTCATCACAGCCAGCACAGCCAACACCGCCAACTCAGACACTACCGCTAGCGCAGACGCAGATACAGCAACACCCCCGTGGGGTGCGCAGGCCCCGTGATGTTGATGCTGATGCTGATGATGATGATGATGAAGATGCTGATGAGAGCGAGGACGATGAATCTCTCTATCTGAGACTCGAAGGGGGGACGCTCATTGGCACCGGCCAAGTATATTGTACGTGGGATTTTTGGATCTCGTATATATGGATCTCGTATCTCATTTCGTTTTGTTCCTCCTTCCTACTCCCTATCTTTATCCCTATCTTTATACCCTCTCTACCCTCTCCTCTTTCCGCTTCCCTCTCCTCTTTCCTCGCTCTCCCTATCCCTCGTCTAATCCTCGCCCTACCCCCTTCCCCACAGCCCCCTCCTGCTCCTCCTGCTCCGCCTGCAACAGCAAATGCTTCCGGCTAAACGCAATGGCCTCCTGCGCGCGCTGCTACCAGGAGCACATCAAGTGCCCGCTGGACAAAGAGAAAGACAAGCACGACAAACAGGCTAAACGCGATAAGCAGGAGAAACGGGAGCTACGCGATAAGCAGGAAAAGCAGGACAAGGTCGATCAGCGGGAAAAGCATGATACGCGAGAACAGCGGGACAAGCATGATAGGCTGGACAAGCAGGACAAGCAGGACAAATCGCGGCCACGGGCGAAGAAGCAGAAGACGAGCCATGGGGTCGCCGTGGAGGTCGGCAACTAACTGAGGTCGGATGGATTGTTCATCTCTCCATCTCGTTGTTCCGTTTCTGATGCTGATGGACTTGTTTTTTTGACCGGACTCTGTGTTGTACTACAAGGATAGATACAAAGTTGTATAAGTTTTTGTATTACCTAGCGACTGCGCGCCTCGCCACTCCATGTGTTTTTCCTAGCATCTCTTCGTTTGTTTTTTATGTTGTATCAGGTTTGGTATCCCGTATGTACTTTTAGGGTTTCTTTGTTTAGGTTAGAAGTGCCTGGCCATATGTATGTATGTATGTATGTTTGTAACTTCGTTTGGGTTTTTTTTTTTGTCGTTTCGTTTTGCCTGTTGCAAAGTGCTTGCTTTGGGTGGTAACATACATAAATGCATTAACTACATGACGCGACGTAACTACAAGTCGACTATAACTCACATAACTTTAACTGACATAACCACACGACTACAACCACACGACTGACTAGACACAACTACACGACTACTAGACACTACACGTCTACATATGTAATCGGCTGTTAAATCGCATCAACACTACTTGACTGGTCCACACAATCGGCCACTTGGGCGGGCGTGGAAATGGCAAATGGACTGCTTTTTACTCGATGCGATGCGATATAGGGATGCAACGCGAGAGATCAGAATGAAGAGAGAACTCAGATATCAGAAATACCGAATCCGGATACGAATATGCAGAGGGGTTAGAATAGAATACACAGACACAAGTCGGAATAGACTTGGAATAGACTCGGATTGGGAACTGGGACCGTTTAGGAGTCTGACCCACGCTCTAGCAGGCCCTCACCCCAGAATGTTCAGCTTCGATCCAGTTATATCATATCGCAATCCTGATATCGAGGACCCACACGGGGAACTAGGCTGGGACACAGCTGGGACACTATTGGCCCGAACGCAATTGGTCAATAAGGAACGGAGCATCGACATCTGACGCACCCGCAGGTGTTCTAGAATTCTATGTAAGTACATATGTTAGGAGGAATTCAAAAAGTTCTAGATGAAGCCTTGATATCGGAGGTTTCCGAATCGGATTCTGTAGAGCAGTGTAGACGTACCTTGTGAGCTGGGAAGAACCAGGATTTCGGATACGGTTTGGCGCCTTTAGCGCTGGTAAGTGTTGGAACAAGCGCGGGAGGTGCAATAACAAGTAAGTTGTTCGTTTACCATTTCGTTATGTGGGGCTTATAACTGTATACAATATCGAAGCCCGCCTAGCTCAATCGGATAGAGCGTCAGACTTTTATATACATGATCTGAAGGCTGCGAGTTCGACCCTCGCGGTGGGCTATGGATGATTTTTTCTATTTGGACTTTTTTTTTTTATTCAAGTTGCAACTGCGTTCAAACTATTCCGACTAACAATCGTAAGGGACGGAGTGATCCCCCTGAGCTACACTATTCTTTGTATTTTGTTATGAAGACGGATATGCCAATATAATGAACGGTTTGTGCACAAAGAGAAGACTCATGGAGTTCACGATGTACATCTCGTAGATGTATGTATGTATGCCTTGGATTTCAATGGAGAGTGCTCAATTCATGTTCGCCGTGACTATGCCGAGAGAACCTCGCTAGCCCGGTACATCAGTAAAATGTCAAATCACCTTTTTGGCACTTTTCTGAGCTTTTTCTGAGCTATTTGAGAATCCCCATCAAGTTTTGATAACTTGGGTGCCCCGCATCTGCGAGCTTCAGCACTTGGAAAAGTGCTTAAAACCTCACGAGAGCAACACGAGAGTTCAACAAAAGTACTTTCACAAGACGATGAAAAGAACATATCGTTAATCAGTAAAGAAGAGTGGAAAAGATTGAATATTCATCTAGTCACTATGGCTCATGGACCACGGTGGCAGAGGCTGGGCCAACGCCTTTCTTGCATGATATGATGTTCGAACTTCGCTCCGACAACTGTTTAATCTTTCTGCTCCTTTGCATGTGACTACTGTGGGTCCCAACCCATCAAAGCTGTCTAATACACCTTTAGCACACGCGACTGACTTTTATCCCTTTGACCCTTCTACACCCACCAATGGAGCAACCATCCAAAGATTCTCTCGACAATAATCACTCTGGGATGAACTACTCAGAAGAAATGCTCTCTCTCATGCGTAGTATGCATTCCATGATGCAGGCGCGGGAGGAGCGCGAGGCTACCGTACTACAATCCAATTCAGACACACACACAGCTCCCGCGCTTGGAACGTCTCAAGTAACAAGCAGTTTTCAAGTGGGCTCGGATCCTTCTGTACCCTCTTCGCTTCATGTCCAAGCTCTACCAGTAGCAGAACCTACATCTGCACAAGTGCTCATCCTGCTTGGGCACCCGACCCACCAAATAATACTCTCCCACCCAGGCATCTGATCCACCAGCCGATACTACTCTCACAAGTATATTGAGCTCTCTCCACGAAGCAGTCTCGGGTTTACACTACGCCGTCACCGGTTCGGAGAAGAAGATCAAGCAAGGCACTAAAAGTGGACCTTTCAAGCCTCGTTGGTTTGGATTGAAAAAGGACCCAACAACACGAGATCCTTTGGCAGGTATGTGAATAATTTTCGCGTATTTGTTTTCAATGTTGTTGATCATTGAACTGTGGTAGCAAACTATGATTATACGGTCAAATATCCGGAAGATGAATGTTATCACGAGCTTGATGAGGAAGCTCGCGTCTGGAGGGTCTATGGCGATGAAGCGGCCGCTTTCGACAATGATATGGTCGGAGAATTGAGCGACAGTTTGGATATCTTATTGGTCTTTGTATGCTCCTTGGCACGTCATTTGAATTGGAGTTGCTGATGCCTTTGCAGGCTGGTCTTTTCTCTGCTGTCCTCACAACGTTTGTGGCACAAACATCACAGTCACTGTCTCAAGACAACACTCAGCTCTCTGCATCTTATCTCAGTGAGTTGACCATGCTGGTCTGTGCAAATGGAAATAGTACCACCACCTTGAACATTCCTCCCACCATTACTACATTCTCTCCTGCCATCCTTGACCTATGGGTAAATGGTCTATGGTTTACAAGCCTTATTATTTCACTTTCTGTTGCTCTCTTTGCAGTGCTTGCAAAGCAGTGGCTTCGTCAGTATATGTCCATTATCACTGGCACACCCCGTGAACAAGCACTTATCCGGCAATACCGCTTTGATGGGCTCGAGAAATGGCGGGTTCAGTCGCTCATTGGACTGCTCCCCACCCTACTCCATCTAGCCCTGATACTATTCTTTGCTGGGCTTGTCATCTTCCTCATTCCTTTGAGCATCACTATGGCATATGTCATTGGTGCAATCTCTGTGACTGTTCTTGTTCTTTACCTCACAGCAACTCTCCTCCCACTATTCACTGTTCAATGTTCTTACAGGACAACGCTTACGCATCTGCTCTTCTCACCCGCTCTTTATGGGCTCTTCTGGGGAATATATTACATTACAATTTCTGCCTATACCTGGGTACAGAAACGACCCCTGGATTCAAAATTTCCACATTTTCATATGCCATATGTTAGTAGAACTTTGAAAGGAGAGGAACGTTCCATAACTGTCAGGCACAGGAATCCGGATATAGCTTCTCTAACATGGCTTGGCTTCTATACCTCTAATCCATCTGCAAAGAGTGTTCTTTGTCAGTCACTTGGGGCATTTCCTTCAAAAATTTCAGAAAAGCTGGGGAAGGTCACAGATGAACTACAGGTGTTGGTGCGAATCTATACACATCTACGCACCTCAACAAACCTAGACGAGGTGGAGGGTTGGCTTCGCGCAGGAATCCATCTCCGAAGCTCCATACCTGCTCATTGCATCAAAGAAAACTTTCACCCACTCTATGAGTCCACCATCTCAGATCATAACTGCAATATCGCTTCTGCTCTTTCGGCATTGGCTTTTGGGCTAAGCCCAGTGAAATTTGTTCATGCTGGACAATGTATAGAGCTCACTGCTGAAGATGCCATAAACTGGGTCCTTGCTACCTATAAGGAAGGTCCACCTTTGGACCTTCCAGGACTTGTATGGGAATCACTGCTGGTCCAAATATCTGGGAATATCTCTTTTGAATATTTGGTATTCGCCATCCGACGCTATTCAGGCCACACAGTTTCCTCCACCATAATCCAAGATCTTATTAGCTCTGACCGTGCGCAGCACTCAAGGACCCCCAGTTTCCAACTCTTAGATGAAAGTCTTCCTCTTTGAAAGGAGAAACATGGAAAGGCTAAAATTAAATTGAGAGGGAGAAATTGGAGACAGAGATGGAGATGCTGAAATGAAACACAACATATAAGGTTTGCCAAAGAAAAGCAGAATGGGACTGGAGTGGGCCAACTTCCTCTGGCACCCAATATCATTACACATCTACGCACAACCTTGAATAAGCACCCGATGTATTGTATACCAATCGTATACATGGCGGAGAATATTTGACGTAGTATTCAGCTATCAATGTTATGATTCGAAATGAGCTTTACCGAGAAACCTTGAATAAATCGGTAGCTACTTACTAGCAGAAAGAGCTACTTAGCCCCCTAAAAGAAATCTATTGCAGTACCTTTATCTAATTCTAATACCTCCAGGTATTTTTGGGTTTACGCCCTGCAAGGGTAGCTTCCACATCGAATCTCCCCGGGATCCTACATCGTCGCTCCAGGGCTCCCTTCTGTGAGGCTCTGGCATCCCGCTCACCTTGCCCCAAGGTGATATTACGATCACCCACCGGGACCTGCACATCGGAACGTCAAGAATTGACGAGTTTTGTGCTTGTGAGGACGGTGTGTGCCCGGGAGCCTGTTATGCCTCTGGGGGTTGGTGAGTGTGAGTGTTCCTGAAAGGATAGAAAGGAGTGCGGCTGTGGTTTCGGTTGTGGATGGGGGCTGTGGGCGCATGGGGTGGCGGTAGATCCGGAAAGCCAGACTCAGCCAATTTGGGATGCAACGGTGTCGCTAGAGGCGGTGGAGGTCTGTGATGTTTCATGTAAGTAAATACATCCTGGATTCTTAATATTCCTTGTGAGAGTGCCACTGGTGTTGTAGTCTTTTGCCCGATCGCCTTCATCTGACTTCAAAGTTTTTCTTTCCTTTTCTCTAGGCACGAGCGGTAGTTGGCACTCTTATAGACTTGAATCTAAGTTAAACGTGGTGTACTTGAACGGACTGGGTGCGATGTAGCTTCGGAAGCCATCGTTCAACTCGAACTCGAACTCGCCTCCAGATACCGCACACGAGATCATACCAGGTGATCTCCTCTCCTTTGGCTCCTCACATGTTCTACTTGCAGGGATCACCACTATCCGCTGAGTCACTCCAAGCCTTTACCCAAGTCGTCATGCTCTTATGGGATCCCTCCTCCTCCGTCCCCCTCGCCTCTTATTCTTATACCTTCCCACTTCTTCCTTCTCCAACAACTCGAAAGATTCAAAAAAGCAAAAATTTTCGTAAGCCCTCGTCGCGTTATCCCGCTCCGACATCCCCCCAGTGCTCTCCTCTACTCTTATGTCAAAGTGCTTAAAAGCTCACACGAAAGCAACACGAGAGTTCAACGAAAGTACATTCACCAGACGATCGCGATAGAAAGAACATATCGTTAACCAGCAAAGAGGAATGGAAAAGATTGAATAATTAGTGAATGTTCACTGTGGCTCATGAACCACGGTGACAGAGGCTAAGGCCAATGCCTAACCTTCAAGTTTCTTCACAGTCCTTTTTGCATGTGACTACTGTGATAGGCGCTCGGTCCATTCAAGCTGTCTTTAGTGCACGCCACTGACTTTTATCTTTCTACACACCAATGGAGCAGTCATCCGAAGATTCTCTCGACAATCGCTCTGGGATGAACTACTCAGAGGAAATGCTCTCTCTCATGCGTAGTATGCATTCCTTCATGCAGGCGCGGGAGGAGCGCGAGGCTACCATACTGCAATCCAATTCGGACCCTGCACATCCAGCTCCCGCGCTTGTAACAGCTCAGCCAATAAGCAGTTTTCAAGTGGCCTCGGATCCCTCCGTACCCTCGTCTCCGCATGTCCAAGCTGTACCAGTAGCAGAACCTACATCTACACAAGCCGGAGCTCATCTTGCTCAGGCACCCGATCCACCAAATAATACTCTCCCCGCCCAGGCATCAGATCCACCAGCCAATAATCTTACAAGTGAATTGAATTTTCTCTATGAAGCAATCTCGGATTTGCACCACGCCGTCACCGGTTCGGAGAAGAAGATCACGCAAGGCACTAAAAATGGACCTTTCAAGCCTCGTCGGTTTGGATTGAAAAAGGACCCAACAACACGAGATCCTTT